ATATTAAAATTAAACTTTCTTGATAAAAATAAACATTGATAATTATAATTTTTGTTTAAACCTATCAAGAATACACCGATTGACTAGCTAAGTAACACTAGTTACACAAACTCAAGACCATGAACGAGAATCTGAACTTAATAACAATAAGGAAAATTACTATTGCGTAGAATAAAGTTCTATTTGTAAAGATTTAAATTTAAAAATTTAAAAATTAAAGTTATTAAGATTTGAGGAAGTAAAAGCGGTTCTCACCATTGCGCTGGCGTAAAAAAATTGCATTAGGTACCAGCACATGTAAATGCTGAATGAAAAGAGGCAAACGTGCTTACTGCACAATTTCATTATTGTTTGAGGGTGAAGCATCAATATGCATAGCACAACGATTCGATGCAATCATTTTTCATGTGCAGAAAAGTACAAGGCCAAAAAAGAAACGGGGTTAAAAATAAACATTTAACTATAAATTGCCAAATTGCCAAGAATTGTCTAGGACAGCAAAAAATTCATTACGCCACTTATGCCACTACAAATTATACTTCTAAAATGTTATGTTAAAAATTATCTGATACGTACGTACTCTTTATTTATTTTGAATATCTATATACTATATATATATATAAGCGTATGTACGTACGTACGTACGTACGTATATGAAACAAATATTACTTACCATTTGGGTTACGTAAAATATTATCGAATAATTCAGGATGTTCGAAAATACCATTTCTGTCAAGACAATATCCAAATTTTCTCCCTTCTTCCATATTATAAATAAGCCTAGTTTGTCATTTTGCCCATCAGTTTTCCCTATACATGGGTGTATACGTAAATTACTTATCTTAATAAAAAATTATTTCGACATTTAGTCTGTCGAAATTAATTTTTCTTAGTGACGAAATTAATTTTCATAGTTGTCGAAATTTTTAGTGAAATTATTTGAATTCTTTATGCCAAAATACATTAGGTAGTATAGTTACTTTGTGGAATTCATATAAAAAACTAGCAATGTCAAATGTTCGTCGAAATTACTTTTTTTAAAAAATAATTTAGACACCCATGTATAGTTTTCCCCTAAGGTGAGTCTTTAATCAATCATCTGTATGAATATAGGTTAGTTTTATTGATAAAATAGACAAATACCAATTCATTCCGTAATCGTTCTTTGGAATACAAAATTTCGATAGGAATCAGTTTTATACGTTGAAAAAGAAAAGGAATCTTCGAGCACATTTCAATCTTAGCTACAGTAACATTCTTTATAAGATAGACAGTCTAGAAACAGCTCTATATAATTAACGTTTGAATAATGTTAGGATTTATGAAAACTGCGAGTAGAAATTAACCTGAAAGCTACGTACCTTGCCGGAATAAACGTAAAAACTAGGAAAATCTCAAGCCTCAAAACCAGATCTCCGAGTGAATATTTGGCATGTGTCGGGATTATCGGCGATGGCCTTTGTACAAACTTAATTCGTGTGACACATGATGGAATGGATAATCAATAACGATATAACGATAATATCTGTTCACACCAAAATGCTTACTCAATCTTTTTGTGTGGCAAGCGCCAAAATAAATCCGTAATATTTGCCCTAATTAAATATGGAGTAAAGTTATATAAACGAAATTTACAACTTACATAAACAATAGAGCAACTCTAATGGGAACTTACGTAAAAAAAGAATTGATCCAAAGGTAGTGATATGAAACAGCCAAATTATAAATATATAATTTCGTGGCGGTTCTTTATATAAAATAATTTCTTCACCTTACTTGAGCAAACACTGTAATTCTTTGATATATTCTTTGGTCACTGCGTCCTTTTTCCTTGAAAGAGAAATTGCTTTAGCCGTTTGATTAATTACTAATGATTTTGTTAAAGTAAATTGTTCAAAAGATTTGCGATAACCTACGTACAAAATTGTTGAGTAAAAAGTAATCAATACGTACGTACTTAAATATATATATATATATAGAATAAATATGTATATATATGGTATATATATATATATATATACTAATTTCAAAGTACCTGGCTGAAAAATTCAATGGAACGTGGAAATACTTCTGGAGGTATATATAATTTGTGAATTTAACCAACATGTTAACTTTCTCTTGATCATTTCAGTACGTTAGGGTGATCATCAAACTAATGAAATTTTTTTTACGAAAATCCGAAATTACTGCGGATAATAACAACTTTCAGTAGTTTTCTTTCGAACCAGTATGATGATTAATTTTTTTTAAAGATAAAGAATTTTGTTTAATTTAATGTAATAGAGATTTTTGATTTATTCTAATTTTACTAGTAAATTCTTTAATATTAATGAGCTTTAACTAAATTCAACGAACATAAAGCTATTGAACTTTGCAAAACCGAGGCTATTGTTGAAAAGAGCATAATGAAAGTTATCGATTAAAAA